ACTGATCACAGTTTGCACTGTCATGGAGCCAGTAGTGGCCACCTGGTAGAAGATCCGTTTATTTTCCTGCTGTCTCCAGTCAGGAATACTTCGAGCAACAATCCATAGAAGAAAAACAAAGATATGTGGGAAAATAAAAATGTTTGGGACTTGTGATCCATTGAGAGCTGCAGTTCAATGACATTTATGTGTATCTTGTAGAAAACCCATCGCCTTACACTGCTGGCGGGATGAAAGCTTTTATACAGACAGCTATGCGTATTTTAGATCTGCTATGTGTAAATAATACTGCCACGGGGGAGATGATGAAAAATAAAATCTTAATCGTCTAAGTAAAGGTGCCACACAGTTAGCTAAAACAAACTGACATGGGGCGGCTGTGGGTCAGTGGTTAGAGCAGTCGTCCTCCAATGCAAGAGTTAGGGGTTCGATTCCACCAGCAGTCACATGCTGAAGCGTCCCTGGGCAAGACACTGAACCCCTCATTGCCTCCGATGTGTGTCCCATCAGTGTATGAATGTGATAAAGAACTAGTCTTTGTATGAATATAGTAGAGTACTGTATGAATGGGTAAATGAAGGCACAGATTGCACAGATTGTAGTGTAAAGAGCTTTGAGTATCTTGATATGATAGAAAGGCGCTATACGTATACTCTATGTACAATATAAAACTTACTTTTTGTTGTCAATGTCAGTTTCCTTTATATACTGTAGCACATTTAAAAACAACAATGTTGACCAAAGTGTTTCACAAACAGGAAAATCAAACAATAAAAAAATTAAAAGATTTTTGTTGACTTGGCCATTTACAGTAGTAGTGTGTAGTAGCAGAAATGGTGCAATTTGGTCACAGCACCTATAAGGCTGGGTTAGGAGGGGTGTGCTCACATGTTGGTGCCATACGTCTACACTCTTTTAACAGCTGGAAATAAACTGAGTGCTACCACACACACACAGTAAGACCTGTTTGGAACCAGTCAGAAATCCTTGGTAGGCTGTACCGTTTTTGCCCTCCAAGTGGGCGTTTCCCAGTATCTCTAATGTGCAGTGAAAATCATGAACAGCGGCATAAACTAAGGGATAGCTTAGGAAACCCAAGGCAACCCTAACTATAGGATTAATGAAAAAGGAAAGTCGTCAAAGTAGACAGTGTCAGCCTCATGGACAAAAACTGGAAGTTTGTTCCTGGTAGTGGAAAGTTCTACCTCCCATTTTATAAACTCTAGGAACCACAAATAAACCCACAGTCTGAGATCAAAATGGCAAAATATGATTTTGCCTTCAAACTCTCGTGAGGACTCTGGCGGCACCATTTAGGATCGACTAAAGTTCTTTTTATTCATGTTACTGTGATACATCATGAAAAACTCAATGTACAGCAGCTGACTGAGGTATTGAAGTCATTTTACTCAGTACGTACACTTGTTTATAGCTTAGTTTATACTAGAAAACAAAAAAGTTTCACATTAAAGTAGTCTTGAAGTTTAGACAAGAGCACCTTTCCCCAACATGACATCCGAGAGATTACTCGATTGAAAATGGCGCTTTTAACTTTCAAAGAGAGAAAAGAAAAACACTCAAAAGCTATTAAACAATCCCTGAAACGCATCTCGGGCTGCTCGGTCGTGACCTTGCACAGAAGCTGAGAACACAAAGAGCTCTTTGAGGAACGTTTCCTGTGATAAGATATGTGACAAATTAAACATCACAAGATGAGTTTAAGGAGTTAACGGCTGAGGTTTGTGGGAATGTCTCAGACATTATCTGAGGAGAATGTGGAAAAGAAAATGCTTTTAATTCTTTGGATTATGCTACTTTTAACATGTTTATACATCTATTGTGAGTTAAACTACAGCAGCAAAGAGGTGCCTAAAGGATTTGCCATTCTAATAAATCTTTGACTCGTTGTGATATGAGCGGAGAAAGCTTAGTTTTATCTGTTGTTTACCCAACTGACCTTTAGTATTTACACATTTTAACAAACTGTTGTACAGTGTACACTTTTATCTAATGCTTTAACTCACCAGTCAAACTATGGCTGCTAAACAACTGCAAACTATTACTGGACGTGAGGCAAATCGGAGGAGTTTAAAGAAATAATCCACTGTATTTTTTTGATGAATGAACGTGTGTACTCTGAATACTCCTCCTCTGCTCTTCAACACTGAATAAACTGGTTCCAGACTGGTTGCGCAACGCTGTTTTCTTCATAACACTAAGTTGTGTGTTGCATTTTTCAAGCACAACTGGTACCTCTGTATTAAACACATGTCCGAGACAGATCGAGCTTTATTTTCTGTCCAACGTAACGCACTAAAGCTGGGTTAAATCTGACTGCCAACATTTTACCACCGTCAGTGTTCTTAGGTTATTTTTTGGGTTACTATGTTTAATTCATGTGTTTTTTAGTGATCTTTGTGCTATTTCCATGTGGCAGTCAGTCATTTTCTGCTCCTCGGCTCCTACCCTGCACACCTGTTCGTGGTTGTCATTAAGCCCAGGTGTCTCCACTCTGCTCATCATTCATGTAGACTCTCAGTCCTCACTCTTCTACATTCTGGCATTGTGTGCTTCTATGTCCTGTTTGGTTCTCCCCGTCCTCTGTTTTACTCTCACTTGTTGTGGCGAGTTAGTTTGTCACAGCGAACTAAGTCGCACGAAGACTCGGCAATTGTTTTTACGCCGGATGTCCTTCCTGACGCAACCACAGACCACCGAGCTACCGCAGCTCTGTGTGGAGCAGAGAGCTGCTATCTAGGGTGCCCGGGGAGCAGATGGTGGGGGTTAAGGGCCTTTGTCAAGGGCCTATAGACTGGGGCAAGTGAGGGTGGAGGCAGGTGTGGGTGCGTCACCTTTCCCACCTCCTTTTTTGATGTTGTTGGTCCGGGGCTCAAACCGGTGACCTTCCAATCACAGGTTCATTTTTTCTAACCTCTGCGCCACCGCTTCCCCTCTTACATTTACCTTTACAAATGTTGGGCTCAGCAACTTTTGGAGAGTCGAGGTGGAGTGTCGCGCGGTAGCTTAGCGCTACATGTTAGCAGTTGTTGAAGGGGTGGGGGGGCTTTCTGTAGGCAGGGTGCTCAGTTCCGATGGGCGGGGTGCCCTCTTTGGATAATGGTAGCGGAAACGCTGGCTTGTAATCGTTTTGTAACTTCTTACTAGTATTTTGTTTTGGACTTGTAACTACCATTTAGCTACTTTAGCATGCTTTTGTTATAGAGCTAATGTTTTACAACTTACACCTAGAGTTTTGCTATTTTTATATTTTAGTTATTTTTTGCTCCCTCTTCAAAATGCTGCTTAGCTGTATTTTGCAACGTTTATGTTTTAGCTAATATTTTGTTACTTCTATCTAGCATTTAGCTACTTTTGACATTTAGCTACTATTTGCTACTTTTAGACAGATTGGCTATTAGCTACTGTTTTGTTGCTTCTATCTATACTTTTAATTTTTTAGCTATTATTTGTAGTGTTCTGCTACATTTACATTTTAGTTAGCCTTTTGCTATTTTACTACTTCTAGCAAGCATTTGCTGTTATTGGCTTTTAGCTTATTGTTAGGGAATTTTTGGTCAAAGTTTATGGATGTTTTTAACTTTTATGGGTGCAAATGTTAACTCTGCCCATGAACCATATGTTTGGGTTAGTAGAAAACTGAATGAGGAGCTGGGTAAAGCTGCAGCGGGCACTCCAAGGACACCTCAGAATCTATGAGCTCGGCTGAACTGATAAGTGTATAAAAACAAGCTGCGCACACTGCCCATGGCTCGTGACTGGTCTTTGTGTACTTCCTGTATATAGCCAATGTGTAACCTGTTGTGAAAATCTATAATCGCAAGTAAAATACTGGTTAAATATCTTCTCCTGCCGTCGACTGTGGCTCCGTTTGAGTAAGTAAAAAAAAAAGTGAGAATATTTTTCACCAACTGAAAATTGTTGGATTGTGTACCTGGATTATTGAGCATGGACTTTGTTGGTTTTGAACCAGTTTGACATGACTGTCGACGAGGGAGAAGCACCGGAGGAGGGGGCGTGCCAAAGACACCATCTTAGCACCAACATAACTGGTTTGTTCCACTTTGGAGTAAGCTGTTGGGGGAAAGAATCAGTTTTGTGTTGTGTGTTTCCTTGACTGATGAAGCCTTCTGGATGGAAGGTGAACCGTTTCAGCACAAAAAAAAAAAAAAAAAAAGAAACCGTCCAGATGACCTGACTGAAAACTGTTGGATTGTATACCTGGATTACTGAGCATGGACTTTGTTGGTTTTTCACCACCACTTCTGTGAATTTTAACCTCTAGTTACTGTTTTGCTACTTCTAGCTAGGCAGTTTTTTTAGCCTTTAGCTAGCCCTTTGCTACTTCAAGCTAGCATTTTATTACTTTTAGCTAGCATTTTGATACATTTGTCCTTTAGCTAGCATTTGACATTTTGTCTGTCTAAACAGATCTCACTTGTAAATGAGTCTTCTAGGCTCAATGTATCTGTCTAAATAAAGGTTGAATGAATGGTTATTTTCTTTTACCTACCATTTTGCTCCTTTTAGCTCATCTTAGCTAACATTTAGCTACTTTTAGCAGAAAATGACACTTCTCCAGTTTTCTGTTTTGGTTTGCATCAGGAGCTAAACTTACCATAAATCTACGTATTTTTGCTGCAGTTCTAACTCTGAGGGGGGGAAAGTGTTAAAGCGTGACTCATATCTGTGTTTTTTTCACAGTAACATCCGGGGGCCGGTCCACGGAGCAGAGTGGGAGTGTCTCGGGTCGTTCCGAGCAGGAAAAGGCTGGAGGAGCTGCAGCTCCCACCGCAGAGGAGAACCGCAGCTGAAAGCCACCCAGGATTATGCCAGCTTCACCCAGCGGGTCGGTGGTGAACCCCCCCACACACAGCGCCTTGTTTACCACATGTTCTGCTGAAATCCGCCTGCCATAGGCTGCAGCTGCAGCTGCTTCTGCTCCATCCATTCCTCTGGATTTCTCTCGTCCCATCGCCAGGATGGAAAAGACCGTGTGCAGTTCGCATCCCAACAAAAGCAACTCCTCGTCCAGGAAGCCCGGGGGTCGGAGCGGCTCCCACAGCCCCGGCTCGGGCTCCCTGTGCGGCCCGGCCGGAGCGGGAGGCAGCCGGGGGACGGTGCAGGGCAGCGGCGTGAATGTCCAGCAGCAGCAGGGGCGCAGGAGGCAGCTGGAAGGAGTGCTGAGCAAATACACCAACCTGCTGCAAGGCTGGCAGAACAGGTAGGAGAGGAGGGGGGTGTCGCTGCACTCACTTTAGGGTTCTGGTGTCAGTTTGGTCTGGTCCACGTTGCACTGTTCCCACCACGTCACTCAGAGGAAGAGGAGGAGGATGAGGAGGAAGAAGGGGGGTTTAAACACAGTGATGATCTGCAGAAGGTCCAGAAAAAGTTATCCTACAGAAGGAAAACCCCACTTATCTGTAGTGCTTAAACATGAATATAATTTCAGGTTTTCTTGTTTTTGGATAATAAAAACAAAAAGCTTTAAAAGCATCCTCTAAAAAGTTTGGCACCTGCTTTGATTTAGAGGTTGACTGTTTTCTCTGGGCGATGCTGATATTGACAGAAAGTGGCAGAGATGGAGATTTTGTTACTCAGGGTGGCAAAGGTGTGACACACAAGGTTCCAGCAGGGGGGCAAAACTTATTTTAGCAGCAAAACTTTTACTTTTGGACTAAAAAAGTTCTTTGTTGTCATTCGCATCGCATGTGGTGCAAGTGGTGGTGGAACGAAATTGGGTCCCAGTTACATCCCACAAAAGAAAATTCATCCATTCATCCATGACACAAATGCAGTTTTTTTTTCCTCCTCAGATGCAAAGACTTGTATAATTTAAAAATCAAATAGCTGTTTTGAAACTTAAACGATTGGGAGTCCTGAAACGGGGAACAACTCCAGGTTCGTCTGTAGGTGAAACCATTCAGAGGTGTGTGCAAACTATAAATCTGTGAGTTAGGATGGAGGTTAAGTTCTGTGGAGATGCCTTTGACTTTTAGTATTAATGCAAAGCATTTAGTTGTGTATCAACTATCCTATAAGTAGGGTAGCAACAGAGGTGACAAGTTTTTTCAAAATTATTTTTCCAGGGGCAGCTGCCACCCTATGCCTCCCTTTAGAACCACCACTGAACAATAGTTTAATTCATTTATTTGTGTATTTTCATTTAACAAAACATAAATGGTTCAACTTAATAAATGTGTATTTAATACCCCCTATAAGAACTCGTGTACTTAAATAAAAACTATAAATAGAAATAGTTTTCTCACTTAAAAACACTAAATTGTGGCAGCTGGTCCTATTTGGTAATTGATCAAGTTTTCATTGCTGATTGTTGATTTTATCTTAATAAAGTGGTCAATATTTGGTGATTATTGGGTGCATCTCTGCTTTGATTTGTCCCTAGACCATTGAAGAGCCTCCTTTTTATAACAGTAACCTTCTTATCAGTTGTCAGCACAATAAAAGTGTTCTGAGATCAGCATGTGGACTTTAACCCAGAACACTAAAGCTTTGTTTTCATTGTCCAGTCTCACCGACTTGCTCCGATTCGCTTCAACTTGCTTCAACTTGGGCCTACGCAATCTCGGTGGTTTTTAATCTGAGTGCCTCCTCAGTGTGGGCAGGATCATAATAGCGTGGCTGCCTGAGTACCCCTAAGTACACCTGTAATCCTGGGAGCTATGATGTAAGGGACATCATAGGGTCACCCATAGCAAACAGGCCTCGGGGTAGGGGTCAGACTAAGAGCGATTCAAAACCTTGATGAACAAAAACAACAAATGCATCAGGAAACCTCACTCAAAAATAAAAAAATAAAGGAAAACTGGACACCTCCCTCGCCAGTGAGCTCCTGGTGGTCAAGCCTTTGCACCTGGAGCTTGGCTGGGCCAGGCCCGAAGGCATAACAGGAAGTCACCTTCATGTGGACCCACCACCTGTGGGGAGGTCCATCAAGGTTGGGTGCTGTATGTCATGTGACAGGCAAGGGAGGGTCCCTGCCTATGCTTATTCCTGGTGGCTTAGACTAGCTCTAAGGACGTGGAGCGTCACTGACGGGTAAGGAGCTGGAGCTTGCTGACGTTGAGCAGTACCGACTAGATATAGTTGGGCTTACCTCTACGCACAGCTTGGACTCTGGAACTAAACACCTGGAGAGAGGCTGGACTCTTTCTTACTCCAGAGTTGCCCAGTAAGAGGGGCATTGGACTCTCCATGGGGATACTCACAAACCCCCGGCTGATTGCCTCGGTGTTGGAGTTTTCCCCGGTGAATGAGAGGGTTTCCTCTCTGTGGCTTTGAGTTGGTTCTGCCTGTTGTTTTTTTATTTATGCACCAAATATCAGTTCAGATTGCCCAGCATAGAGTCTCTGGATGGTGTCCTGGAAGGGGGTGCCATCTGGGGATTCCCTCGTTCTACTGGGTGATTTCAAAGCCCATGTAGGCGATGAAGGAGTCATCTGGATTGGGTGATGGGGAGGAATGGCCTCCCTGATCTGAACCTGAATGGTGTTTGCTTATAGGACTTCTGTGCTAGGCATGGGCTGTCCATAACAAATATCTTGCTTGAGCATAGGGTGGTTCATAAGTGTACTTGGTACAAGGCCACCTTAGGCCAAAGGTTGCTGATCTATTTTGTAACTATGTCATTAGACCTGCTGCTCTATGTCTTAGACACTCGGGTGACGAGGGGCCAAGCTGTCAACAAATCACCACCTGGAGACGAGTTGGATTTTGGTGGCAGGGGAAGCTGCTGGACAGACTTGGTTTAGTGGAGCCCTTGGTCTGTGTGGCTTTCACACCTCTGGGAGCGTTTTTCACATGTCCCGGGGAGGTTGGGGACATGGGATCTGAATGGGCCATGTTCAGGGCCTCTAGTGCAGATGCGGCTTCCAGGAGCTGTGGCCTGGCCTGGGAATGTCTCGGGGTCCCCAAGAAGAACAAGCTGGAAAGTGTCGCTGGGGCGAGGGATGTCTGGGTTTATTCATTCAATCTTTATTTAAACAGGTTAATCCCATTGAGCTTCGGGGACTCATTTACAAGAGAGACCTGATTTTTTAATAGTGATGACAACAGTGGATAACAACGACAACAATATACAGTCATAAAAGATGTGTACAAATTACTATTTTTTTTAACAAATTTAAATAAAATGGCAACCAAAAGGACAATCAAAAGGAAAAGTAGCGAAAAAGCAGCTAGATTATAAGGCGGTGTAGAAAAACTAACAACAGGAACATGTCTGTATTGGTTTTTGCCAGGAACTTAGCAGATGTTTAAAGCCACTTAGAGAGGTCAAGGTCGAGAGCTTCAGATCTTTTTGCAAGATATTCCAGGAAACAGAAGCAGCATAGGAGAAGATCCTTTCGCCTAATTTGGTCAGGATATGTTGCCTCTGTGACCAGACTATGGATAAGGTATAGGAGATACAGATGGAGATGGTTAATATATTATCTTTTGTAGATATTATGTGTGTAGTTTGTATGTATGTATTATTAATACTTATACTGTACCTATTATTATTATTATTATTATTATTATGCATGTTGTAGGTATCTGTAAGACATCAGTTTTGAATCAACTTATTCTGACTTATTGGTTGTAAATGAATTGTGAAATGTCCCAAACCTTTGAGCACTCAAGTTATGGAGCTTTAAGTTCAAGTTCAGGTATCTTTATTGTTGATCCATCACATGTGGTACATGAGGTGGAACAAAATTATGTACACAGGGTCCCAGCTATACTAAAAATTGCAAAATATAAAGTATAAAAAGAAACTGTAAATAAGGATCCATCCAGAATGCTTCATCAGTCAGGAAGGTGAAACGTTTCAGCACAATAAAAAGAAGCTGTCCAGATGACCTGACTGAAAAAGTTTGAACTTCTGGGTTCTTGTTGAATGTCTATATACGCTGTATTTTCATGGTAGGTGTTCTGATGAGACTAGCTACTCTTAGTGATGCCAAGTCAAGACATGATCGCTGCCTTCTTAAAACAATTTGTAAAAGTCATAGTTTTTCATGTTTTGTTTATTACTTGGCAATAATTCAAAAGCAACGAGATACACCAGAAATCAACTTCTGACAATTCCCTTTTTACTGAATAATACTTGGCCAATTTAAAATGTCAGAAAATCTTCCATGTTAAATATAGATTTTGGACTTTACTGTCCTTATACAGAGAAAAGCAGCACAAACTTGTATAAATCATGATTTTTACAATTTTTTTGGCCTCAAACAGCAGCTCTCGGCGCACGCTTTTGGACCTGTGCTGCATTTGTTAACAAAGCAAACCTCATTTCTCCTTTGGCTTTAAATATAAATCAGTATTATTTCCTGTGAATGACTATCTGATAGTTGTCCTTAAAGCATTGCAGCAACTTTTATAATTAGAATCAGATTTTCTTTCTTTTTTTGAAGGGGGGGGGGGGGGGCGACAGGCACTGTTATGTGACCTCATGCAGCATTTATGCGTCCACTCCCTGCGTCCACTTTGAGACGAGCATTTTCATAAGTTTTTAATTTAAAACGACATCTCGGGCACGTGCTGACATCGACTGTGTTAAATATGAAACATCTTGAAACTTTGGAGACCCATTTCCTGTGAGTTTCCCTCTGCTCTGTTACCATGAATTATGCACAATCTGTCCTACGGCTTTGGTGTGATTTTTGCAGCAAAATTTGTTATTTCCTCCCCCCACACACCGAGAAATAAGTGTCCCATTGTGGCTGTAGTGTAGCAGTGCTGCAGAGGAGAAGGAAGCTCAGGCTTTATGAAAGTGTATATGATCTGGGCTTGATGCCAGTCCGTGAGGAGGGGGGGGAGCGGAGGTGGTGGGAGAGGGAGCGGCTGCTCGCTGCTCTGTGGACTGACAGGATGTTAATGCCCTGATCTGCATCTCGATGCGCACACACAGGAGAACACCTGGGTAAAAAAAACAAAAACTCTTTGCTGTATCACAGTTTGTTTGATGTTCTCTTGCGAGCAGATCTATTTCAAAAGATTGTTCGTATTTTGTAGCAGAACCGACATCAGGAAGGGGATTTCTTGTTTTGCGATGATGCTACCTGTCAAGTCTCAATTTCAAAGCGCCTCGAGGCAACGATCCAGCTGTTCTAGTAGAGATTTCTTTCAGAGCGTCCACCTGAGCCGGTGCCACGAGCTCAAAACAAGTAAACATGTGACACAGATATGACTCAGACCTCCTGAAAATGTCACCTGAAA